TCTTGGTATCCCCTATCCCATTGAGCCTATCCCTTTCTTTTAAGCGCTATTAAAACCCTAGGCCCTAAACCCTCAACCTGTAGAACTTACTGTCCCTTCTGGGCTAGTTCTGTTGCCTTTGGGTGGTATAGGATCCTGTATTCCTTGTACCCTAACTCCATCGTCCCCTGAGTCGACCTCGTCCATAGAAGTGGTAGCATAGGTTCGTAGCTTTTCTTTAGGAGTCTGATGAGGAGGTGCCTTGCCCATGCACAGCTAGACTGTTTTTTAAGCGTTTTCAATTGACAATTTTCAATTTTGAAATCTCAAACCTGTGTCGCTGTTTAAATCATGTTTTGATTTGTTATTCCCAATGAAAGAGACAAATCATCCACCCACATCCTCCTCCCCTCCCCCCCCCCTCTCCTCCTATCCCCCCTCCTTCTCCTCTTCCACCCCCAGTTTCAAGCCTTGTGTAAAATTGTTCAACTTTGCGACCGAATTTGGGCCATAGCACTGAACAGCCTCTTTGTCCTCTTGGGCTGTCAATCAACAGTTACATGTGTGTAGTAGTACTGTGTAAGTTTCGGCCTCACGGACTGTGCCGAACTCCTCCCCCTCCTCTTGGAATAGGCCCCTTCTTTTGTTTCCATTTGCCACCTGATATTCAGGGTTAGCACCTGCAATCTTTTCCTTTCAATGAGATGAGCCTCACCAGAGTGGTAATGGAAGAATTGTTAAGTGCCCGAGCGTGTATATGGTATCATCACAGTAACTGCCTGCCTATGCTATAGTAAGTAGAATTTGAGATCAAGCTGTGCTGCTGATTGACCTGTCCGCACCAAGGCTCTTCCGGCATTTTGATGTTTAAGGTTTAGTCACAGTTGCACTGGACCTTTTTTGTGTAGAGCACTTTTGAGAGGTTTGTTTTAATGCTCTAGCCTCTTACCGCTATCTTCATCTCCTCGCTTCCGCACTCTTCTTGTGTCTTTGGCATTAAGTTTCAGGTGGGCGATGACTCCAAACTTCCCAGCACGGGCGCAGGATATGAAACAGACGAAGAAATTCTGGAGCAAGCCCTTTGTTATGCGAAGAGAACGGATGGGCAAGCACTCGATGTCATCAACTATGGCATTGTTCCCTTGGCCAAGCTTGCAGAAAAGAGCAAGTGGAGACAGGTCATTTTCAACGAGAGCATTGTTGGACTGTGTGCAAATCTGCTGCGCAACCACCGGTGGGTCCCTGTCGATGCGATCCTTCAGTTATTGTATGCGCTATCACAAGACGAAAACGACACACCGTCAGCAGAATGCCAAGATCGGAGGGTTACCATTGCGCGAACCGCTTTGAATGTGGTGCTGACTCCGCTGTGGAGTACCGGTCAACAAAACTCAACAACCAAAGGAGGTGCGCAGCAGCTCGCTTTCAAAGTGCTCGCCAACTTACTCCAGGACAAATCCGCACGGCGACACATCATCCAGACTGGTGGGATCACTAAAGAGCTGTGCCGCACAGTGGCCTTGCGGCAACTAGGAAGCAGCAGGGTGCATGAGAAGGATGAAGTTTCTTGCTGTGTATTTCTCTTGGCAGGCAAAGAATGTGATTCTGGGCATGTGTGCCTCAGCCAGTTCATATCCGCTTTATTCCAGTTGACCAGCGTGGTGGATGATGTGGAGTGCCCATGGGTTCTTGGGGTGATAGAGAAGATAGTAGTCTTGGCTATCCAGAAAGGGGAGGATTGTGTGATGGAGGTGAGAGAAGCAGTGAAGGACGCACAGAACGTGGAAGCGATGGTTTCCAGAATTAGTCCCGATGGTTCTGGGGACATCCGGTATGCTTCTCTGCGTGTCCTCTGGAGGCTTTGTGCTGACAAATGTTGTGCGAAGGCAGTTGCAAGTGTGGCTTGTACGGGGTCAGCGGCGGCAGCCTCTCTCGTGAAAAAACTATTCTCCTTGATGAAAAACAAGGAGGCCATCAACGGTGATCTGGAATTGGTCATTCAGGTTACTGCAGCGATGATTAAAAACGGTGGAGAATCAGTCTCCAAACAGATCATGCTTCCCAGAGTGACAGGGATCGATCTGCTTGTCCAGCTGATCAGTGATCACCTGAAAGGAAGGTGCCAGTTGACTTCGGCGTCGTGTCTTGATGTTATGCAGTCCTTAGAGCGGGTGGTCGTTGATGATGACCCCGGCAAAGAACGCTTCCTGGATGTGGGCGGGTTGGAGATCATTTTGGACCTTTTGCGACAACAACGTGATGGTGCTTCACCATCCTGTCGAGCAGTCGTGGCGTCAATGCTCGCCCACATCTCTTCCTCGCAGCTGTGCCATGCTAAGGTATGTGGCCATGGAGGCGTTGAGATCCTCGTGGAGCTCATCAAGAGCAGCGAGGAGATGATGGAGTGCCGCGTAAGTGCCGTCGTTGCTCTCGGTAACCTGGTCTCCGATAATCCAGCGGCCAAGGCCAAGCTGAGCAGCAAGAACCTGGAGGTTGGCCACCTTTCCGCTGTGCTCATCTCGCCAGAGGCCTCCTACCATTCAAAGATGGCTGCAGCTCGGATGTTTCCCCTGGCAGGAAGAGGCCCCCTGCCTTTGCAGGATAGAGTTATTCCATCCCTCCTGGAGCTGGTGCGATTGGATAAGACTCCTGATGGGCAGCACAGCGTCCTGGGAGCGATCCAGTTCCTGGCATCCAGTCCCCGAGGCTGCAGTCGCCTGGTTGAAACGGCAGGCTTCATGGAGGAGCTGTCTCTTCTGGCGGAGAAGTCGGCAAGCGCTGATTGCCGTGAAGTTGCTTTGAGGATCTTAATATGCTTGCTAAAGAACGAGAACAACTGTGTTAGACAAGCTGTGTACCGATCCACTGGTGCTTCTGCACTGCTGCTGAAGGTGCTGGCGGATATGAAACTGCGCGAGGCAGGCAGCGCACTCCAGCTGGATGCAACGGTCTCTCTCTTGCATGTTGTGGAGCAGGATGGTGATGGCCGTAGATGGGTCAGCGGCGGAGGTGGGGTGAAGATGCTTATTGATGCATTGTATGGCAACTGGGGAGAGACTGAGGCCTGCATTGTGGGCATCCTTGGGGCACTTGCCAAGGAAGAGACGATCGCAGTGGAGATCTGCAGGCAGAATGGTGTCTCGGCGATGGTGGATCTGCTGGAGCAGAGCTCCTCTGTTCAAGAGAACTGGAAACATAGGGCAATGGAAGGGCTGTACAGTCTGGCTAAGACTAGGGATGATGAGTGCCGCCAATCTCTTGTTATGACAAAGAGGTTAGTTAGGAAGATCCTGCATATTGTCGAGAAAGTGGTGCAGGAGACTGTGCAAGCGGGCTCCGGCTTGCCGAGCAGGCAGGTTCTGATGGCAGTGATGTTGCTGCAGGAGTTGACGAGGAAGCGGGAGGCCAACTGCATCCAGAAGGTTCTTGATGAAAAGGGTTTGGAAATCATGCTGTCCTTGCTACTGTCACAGGAGATCCTCAGTTGTCGTTGTGCCGCTCTGTCCGTCATCGACAACGTCATGTCCAGTGAATACTTCCTGGAAACACAGGCGGGAGGCGCAGTTCGTCTGCAGATTGCTCATGGGGCGCGGATGCTCGTAGACATTGATTCTTCAAAAGATATAACAGAGGGATCTGGGGAATTCCTCGGCAAGCAAGCGCAAGACGATCAGCGAAAGTATTTGGAACGGTGCAAGGTTGCTGCAGCCAACCTCCTGGCTACGGCAATTCGAACAGGGAAAAAGGACTACTCAAGCCTGGATCCCAGGGTGATCTTTGCTCTGGCAGGCCTTCTCCAGGTGGTCGATTCTGGATCCGAAGACCGGTGCAATATTGTGGAGGCCTTGCGTTGCCTCGCCCTCGAGTCTGAGTGCTGTGACAAGCTGGTGGAGGTACCTGCAGGCCTTAAGGCCCTCGTGTCGCTAACGGCTGATTCGGAGGCGGAAGCTTGCAGAGAGAAAGCCTTTCAGGCCATTTTGCAACTGATGCTGAAGGGCGAAAAAGTGGTGCGTAAGGCTGTCTATGAGACCGGGGGGTTGACGGTTATGCTGCAAGCGGTTTCCAGCGGTTCTCGCATCACCTCGTCGATGATGGATGCCTCTAGAGGACTTCTCCTTGCTGTGGAAAAGGATGAGATTGCACGCGAGTTGCTGAATAGGGAGCATGGAATCGGCACCTTGATGAAGGTCCTTGGACCTTCATGCTTGCATGATCTGGGCAATGGCGGCGAGTATGGCGGCTGCAGCACCCTGTCGTCGTCCGATTCATCCCCGTTGTGTGAAGGAGGTGGTGATTGGTCAGAGTTTCACTTCAGACTAGGAGCCACAGTGGCAAGGCTGACGGACGTCGATCCAGAGGGGGTTCGGAAGTTGGGAGGAGAGGCAGCCTTGGTCGCAATGCTCTTGAAGTCGGCTGAGTCCAGTAGCTTCTTGCTGTGGAGGTCGCGAGTTGCCCATGGGCTTCTCAATCTGGCTCTTGAAAGCACGTCTTGCAGAAAAGCTTTACATGAAGCAGGTGCAATTCATGCACTTCTGAGAGTCGTTAAGCACCGTGCATCACACGAGGTGGCGGAGGTGGTGGGGGTCCTATGGGAGCTAGCAAGAGAGCCTGAGTGCAGGGTAGCCATACTTGGGGCAGATGGTTTGCCTGTCCTGCTGAACCTGCTGGAGTCGGAGGAATCCCTAGTCTGCCTCACTGCAACAATGATGGTGGTAGATACGCTCACATCAAGTGAGGAATTTGTGGCATGGGAGAAACAGCGGGCGACTCCTGTGGGGCTCCGAATCGCTCATGCCACGTGCATGCTCGTGGACCGTGCTTCTGTTGAATGCAGAATTGCAGCAGCTGGACTCCTATCTATGGCGATCGTTCGAGGAAGCAATGACTACGAGAATCTCCAGACAACGGCAGCTGTTGTGCTTGCTCACCTTGTGCAGGCCACAACTGGGAACTGGAAGGCCCAGTGTCGTGTCGCTGAGTGTTTCAGATGCCTCGTATCGGACGTCAACTGCTGGGCAAATGTGTTCAATGCCCCTTTCGGCCTGGAGGCCCTAGTCGCGCTTGCAATGGGGAGCTCGAACAATGGGGCACCGATGAACTCGTATGAGGAAGATTGTGAACGGATCGCAACCCATGCAATAGCAAAGTTGATCCTGAGAGTTGTGGATGAGCCCCAGTTGCGACGGCGGGTGTTGGAGGCAGGGGGAGTGCACGTCCTCCTAAGGTGCGTAGAGGCATGGCGAGGCAGTGTTCCTCAGGGCCCATCCGAGACTCGAACGAAGGCTGCCAAGGCACTGCTGGCTTGTCTTGACACAGAGGATCGCACAGTCAGGGAGCTTGTGAAGGGAGTCGGTGGTGCAACGATCTTGGTTCAGTCACTGAAGCTGAGCGTCTCAGCTGTGCCCCCTGTCAGCTGGAGCACAGCACGGCTCGACCCATCGGCCAGATGGACCATCTTCGACTTCTGCATTGGTGGGGCCATTGCTAAGCTTGCTGTGGATCTGGAGGATGAGCAGTGTGCCCATCTGTCTGAAGCCGGGGGCATCCGTTTGATGGTCGACATGTTCCTGCAGTCATGCCTGCTGGAGTTCATTGCCAACGAGCTCAAGATCCGAGCGTTGGATGGGCTATGGGCCCTCGCACGTCAAAGCCCACTTTGCCGACAGCAGATCACCACGAAAGAGATGGTGAAACGTCTCATCGATATCATATCCCAGGCTGATGGAATGGGATCCTTCTCTAGCGGCAGCCACAGCAGCCCCTCGATCACCCCCGGCGGAGGTGCCGCAGCTGCCGTCCAGTCATCGCCTGCCTCGGGGCATAACTTATCTCGTGCATCGCCTTCCTCACCGAACCACGAGAACTTTGAGGTTGTCTCGGAGGAGGTGCTGAGAGCATTGGGAATTCTTAGGGAGATGTCGAAGGATACGGAAGCAGGTAGCCTCGTCATCGAAAACAAGGGAGTGACCACACTGCTGCGGCTGCTGGATAGGGCGGTGGACGACAAATCTGGCGAAGGTTGCGTTGAACAAGCCATCGAAATCGTGCACGAACTGAGCAGAAAGCACAACCTCGCCCGAATGCATGCAGTAGTGCAGCTTGGCTTAGTTACTGCGAAAATTCTTCGCACAGCAATCGACACTGCCGAGCTCACACGAGGGAGGGGTGCTATCAGCCCCCTTGTTGTCGAAAGGACTCTGCGGATTGTCAGGAACCTACAGCTGGACATGCGAACCAGTCTTGTGAAGGACGACATGGTCAGCATCCTATGGCCTTTCCTTGAAGAGAGAGATCACGGCACACTTATCTGGGATGGCATGGGAGATGTCATTATAGCCGCAGCAATTCGCGCGCTGGAGGCATACAAGGACTTCCCCATGGAAAGACTGAAAATGAGGGGCACCGAGGGCGGCATGTCTCTGCTGATCCAGAGGCTCATTGACCTTCCTATGGAAGCAGACATGGCCTCCGCTCATGTGTGTGGATCTGAGCTTCTCCTCGCGTTGATGTCAGATCATGGTGGTAGGACTGAAGCGATTAATGCCGAGGTCACCAAAGTCACAGGAAGGTGGTTGACTCGCGCAACAGAGGCAAATCAGGAGCAGCACAACAACAACAGCTGCCTGTCTTGCGCCGCCATCCCCGTCCTACGGAAACTCGTTCAAAACCTGGGCCTTTTCAAGCGTGACAGGGTCATCCTTCTGCTTCAGGAAGCCGGCTGCTTCAAGGCGCTTCAAGTTCTGCGCGATGCCGACTACCAGTGGCATGACTCATGTCGCATTGCCGCTGAGCGGCTTATTCAGGAGTGGTCCACAAATCGGGCTCTTTACAGGTTCTTGTGATAGAGGTAACAGCCCTCAATTTTGTTTCGATCTTTCCCCGCCAATGGCCATCGATGGTTGTTTGATAATTCACTCTTTCTCCACAGTAGTTCTCGCCACCCGCTGCCGTACTGGTATCTTGTGCTGCTGCTCTTTCGATGGTGCGGAGTCCGCCGACATTTGGAAGTGGGCCAGCCCGGGAGCGTGGAGAACATGACTGAGACGGATCTGCTGGCAAGTGACAGCGGAATGGACAATCGGTAAAGAAATCATTCAGCAGTTCAACTCCATCTGGCGCTAACGATGTCGATCGATGTCATTAACTAGAATAATAATCCACCAGCTGCCCGCCTACAATGTCGCTTGCGGCTGCTGTTTTGTCCGATTAACCATGGCCATGGTGGTTTTGCGGTCCAAGTCCGTCGATTTAGGCTCCTTCCCCCAGACGGTGAGGCAAAGACGGCAAGAGGTGGCGTGATCCTTCGGATGAATCTTTGAGAGGTGAGGGCCCTTTCTCAAGAGTGCCTTCTGTTCAGTGCCAATTAACTAACCCGTTACAAGAGTGCCTTCTGTCCAGTGTCAATTAACTAACCCGTTACCTATTTTCGTTGATCATTGCTGAATATAGCAAAAATATACTATATGCCAACAATAACCGCGCACCACGGCCTTGCGCTGATGGTACATATAACTTATAACTTATAAGCCTATATAAGGCTTCACTACTGAGATTCCTGAGCTGAAGCAGCAGCGGTATAAATAAGGCATTACTAAGCCTGCCGTACCCAAACCCAAAGTTTGTGTGCACTAGTGGTAGCGATGATACGAAACCAGTGTAATAACTGACCTGCAGGTCGGGAGCAGCCCCCGCATGTTCTCTCGTGAACATGGTTCTGGCTGCTACGGGGTTCCCCGTATGCCTACAATTAGTAGTGGTAGGTAGGTAGCACGGCCCCTGCGCACGAATGACAGACCTAAATCTACAAATGGTTTTGGAAAAGGAAAAACCATCTTCTGTCTGTGACTCTGTGCTAATTATAATTTATTCCCCTTGGTCATTGTAAATGCAGTGCTACAGTAACACCTCTACTAATAGTATGTTTTCGCATACCCCCGCTCTCTCCCTCACCAGCGACAACCTCCATGGAGGTGTTGACGTGTGGGCCATGGAAACTGTCATTTTCATTGGGGACCACCCCACCCTCCAGCTACCGTCAGGTGAAATGCTGAGGGGCTCTGTCCATACCACTGGAAAACCCTTGAAACCCAAGGAAGCATTTTTTTTGGTTTCAAGGGGGTTTCAAGAGGGTTTCAAGGGGGGGTTCAGGGGGGGTTTCAGGGGGGGGTTCAAGGGGTGCGGAACGAGAGCCCCTTAGTCGTATGTATGCCCTGCCGGTATAAATTCCGTTATGCTCATGTTCAGACGTAGGATCTGAGCAGATGTTGTTGGCCAATTGAAGCGGAAGCATTGTGAGAAAAGGCATCGAGTCTAGAACAGTACCCCAAATTGGTCCCTGCAAGTTTTCAGAGGTGGGGGGGGCAGCATAGCAACCCTTGCATTCATCTATGGAGACCGATCTCGCATAAATAATCACCCGCTTCGCTTCGTTCTTTCACTGAATGAACACTGAGCACTGATACTTAGTCATTCATGCAGCCAGGCGGCGACTTTATTTGTATATTACTATATTTTCGTATATTGTCTATTTGTAGCCATGCTGCCTGCTCTCTTCTATTTCCAATTTTCCATTCCATCCCTTAACAACGCAAACCAGATGGCCTGACATTAGCATTACATACTTCAGGGTCTGCTGTGATTATTTGTGAGGGCTGCATGCATGCGGTCGTCGTATGTACCCGCTAACATCATACTCGCATGACGACACATTTTCGCGAATCTGGCCATAATTATTGCAGTCGGGATGCATTCAGGAAAGTACAAGTGTTGAGCTGGCTGAGATTAGTGCCACGGTTTTGTTTTTTTTTTTCCCCGCTAATAAGGGAAGGAAAGAGCGCCAATGTCGGTCAAGGGCGTCGTTAGCCTTTTTGGGGAGTAATAATGGGCAGGTGACCACATGGCGTAGTGGTTGATCTGTTCTCGGGGGCGGGTGGCGACATTCACAATGCCTTCTCCTCCAGCAAGACAAGGGTGAGGAATCTGAGGATGCTAATCTATATCTGCACGGCAAGCTTTTTGTCGACGGAATGGTGGGCCCACAACTGCAGTCAGATAGGCCTGACCATGCGGACTCCTGTACATAGAGAATTGCTGTCTGTAGAAGTCCAAAGTGAGAGTGCATGCGTCTCACTCTAGGACTTTTCTACTTATTTATCGATGTGATTACCACCCGCCAGAGGCATCCAGGTCTGCCCGTAATTGGACTCAGACTCAGTCTCAGATGCATTTTCGACACAGTCATAGTGTGAGTATGCCCTGCTTGTTCCATCTCAGGGGCAAAACCGTCATTGGCGCGAAAGTTTTGCGCCAATTCAAGTTACAATACGAGACAGCGTTTTTTTTTCTTTTCTTTTGCTGCGTACAGTCGTACACCTTTATAGTTTTTGGTTGCCGCACAGCAGATTAGGCACCACGCTCCAGGATCCAACGCCTGTTGTTGGATTGGTTAGGTGAATTCACTGAATTGTGCAGAGGCTTTGGAAGTCGTGGAGACTTCGTCCGCGGCATGGATCCACATCCATGTGTGTGTTTGTTGTGTTGTGTAGCATTGATCGACTGCTTCAAGTCAGATCGATGCTCTTTTTTTTTTTTTTTTTTTTTTTTTTTTCCCTGTTCGATGCGGAAGAACTCGGGATGTGTGTGAACAGGCGAAGCTGTCTCTTATACACATCTAGTGGTTGTGTGTGAGAGAGAGAGAGAGAGAGAGAGAGAGAGAGAGAGAGAGAGAGAGAGAGAGAACTCATGATCTGTTCAATTCTGTCAAGTTGTCAATTGTTTCAACAAGAGTTACATGTGCATATCGTTCAGCCAACTGCCAAGCACACGATGTCTTGGAGTGTCCTACCACTACATGCCTTTGACAGCAAGCAAAAGCAAATTAGAGGAAGTAGACGTATAAGGCTTATGGGTACTGCATACGACAGTGCATAGTATCATCAGTGTTCCACGTTTCGAATTATTCAGAAGTGTGCAGACGGGCGTGTCTCTCAAGGTGTGTGTGTGTGTGTGTGTGTGTGTGTGTGTGTGTGTTTGTGTGTGTGTGTGCTGGCCATACAAAAGCTTCCTCAAGTTTTGGGTGTGTGTGTGTGTGCCATGTGAAAGCTTTCTCAGGTCTGTCTCTTATACACATCTAGATGTGTCAGTAGGTTCTGTTTTGTCATTCCGGGTAGACTGTGAGGGCCCCGGCCTCAATCTTCTTTTGATAATATCAGCCTTGGCACAGGGCCCGCTTTAAAAAAAAAAAAAAAA